TAAAAAAATCAATAAAATATATTAAAAGAAAAAAGAGATAATGGGTGTGGGTGCCCTTTATAGCCTTTGTGGAATGAGTAAGTGAAATGAAAGTTGGAATTAGACTCTATTAAATATCAGACTTTGATACCCATGGAGTCTGACCTTGAGCACCCAGTCAGGCCCTGGAACATTCTAGGACATTAGAGTGAGACCTCATGTGGGACTGAAGCACAGAGTTGAGAGCAGACACCCAGAATCCCACACCTCCCTGCCTCCCTCGCTTTGTGTTTAAAACAGTTTGTTCTGTGTTCTGCAGAGCAGTGAGCATGGGGAAAACTGCTTTTGCTTCAGAACCAAAGTGGGTGTCTGAAATCTGTTCCTCTCCCCCGGCTTCACGCTGCCGAGGAGGCTGGTGCCAGAGGTGGTCAGAGGCTGCGCTACAGAATCCGAAAAGGACAGGCCGAGTGGTGGCAGGAGGTTAAGTGCAGGAGGGACAGCCTCTGCTATCCATGCAGGGAGCAGGAAGAATGGTCAGGGCCCTGAAAGAAAGGGCCATTTGGCATATCAGCTGCCAGGCCCCGGGAATGTGGCCAGATTCCCCCATCACCTCCTGCCAGTCCATAAAACCACCTTAGAAAAATCCAATGCTAAACGCGAGGCTCTTCAGTGCCTCACTGTGCAATTATGTGTTGCAAATAACTCTTGAGTCCATCCCTCTGAGGGGATTACAATGCCTTTGGTCCACAATGGGTTTTGAAGTTCGTTGCAGATGTCAGAGGAAATGAAAGTGGTGTAAAGTAACTGCATGAGGTCCATGAAGGACACAAGTGATGGTTTCTCTCCAAAGCATTATTCATCACTGTGAGGAAAGACAGTTCCTTCTTCTCTTCACACAGCTTCCTTGGGCTCAGGGAGAGCGGGCTGGTTTGCAGGGGGGATGTAAGAGCTGCATGCCAGTGGATCTGGAGATACCAGTTTCTGAAATAGGATAAGGATCCCCTTAGGTTTCTGGGGTGTCTATGTGGTCTAGAGGGCAGAGCACATGGAGAGGAACCCCAAGCTGTTGGGGTCCTCATAGATAGAAGAGCCCGTTACTTCTACGAGTTCATCCCATCCTCACAGCAACCCCATGAGGACTTGAACTGAGGTTTGATAGATCAGAGCCCATGCTATTTCAACTACAAGGTTTGACTGGTGAGTATGCAGGGGTAGGCTAGAGAGTCTAAATTTAATGTGATAGGTCTAGGGAGGCCATAGGTGTCTGGCTATAGAGTAGAGAAGGAGATTGGTTAAAGCATCAGGCAGCCATGAATAGGGTGAGTTATTGAGATTCTCAAGTTCAGAGTGTGAATTATCTCCTTAGTGGAGGGGGTAGTATGAGCCCCTGATGTGAGATGCTGAGATTCCTGGCCTATGGTGAAATAACAGTGACTTACTAGTACATTTGTTGATCATTTGATATGTGGTGGGTACTGTACTGGAAGTTTCTATACAACTCAATGAGAAAATGCTATCATTGCCAACAGCATGGTGCAGGGGTGAAAAGATTGGAATCTTGAAGGCAGGTAAACCTGATTCACTGCCTGTGTAACCATGGGAAAGTCACTCTACTCTGAACTTATTTCTTCATTTCTAAAATGGGGATAATACCAGTTTAAGAAGTTGGTTGGTGAGTGGGATTAAAGGATAATCTCACACAAAAAAGTGTTGTTAGCCACATGACTGTCATATATAGTAAACACTTCTGTCATGTTAGCTGGTGTAATTATTACCATTGCCATACCCATTGTACAGATCTGCAAACTGAGGCTTGGAAAGGTTAAGTGAGTTTTCCCAAGGACACACAATTAGCATTGGTACCTGGGTAGTCTGACCCCAGAAGTTACACTGCTATTCCTCCAGGGAGAAGATCTTAGTGAGGATCACAAGAGAGTAACAGGAGAGATTGAACTTAGATTAAAGTATTGCAGGACAGGAGGGTGGGGATGGCACAAGGCAATGAGTTTGCACATATTCTTCCCCAGATGGCCTGTGCCAAGCTCTTGGCCAATGAACTGCTATCCTTATAATTACCTTTCTCCTTCATAAAGTTCCCAATGCAGCCGTGCCCTCCTCTCTATGTGGAGAACCAGATAAAACTGCATTTGCATACAATTCTGCCTTGTGCACAAAGCTGCTCATGGGTACACTGGTCATGTCTAGCTCATAGTACATGGAGCAAGGGTGTTGGAGCATCCCACATACCATCAACTCCTACATGTAACATGTTTGACCTTCACCTCCACCAATACCAATTATTCCAAGGAAGTTTGGGTGTGTGGGTTGTCTCAGAGATTTTTTTTATTAGGTTCCAGCTGTGCCCTTAGCATATGTCCTCCTGAGAACTTTCTTAGCTCCTTGTGTGCTCAGTGCAAGAAGATGCTGGTCCCGTTGCCTTTTGCAGTCATCCTGTAACTGGTGACTGGCTTCCTCAGAGGCATCTTTGCTCCTTATTACATTTCTTTTGTAATTAAGTTTGGAACTTTTCAGTCCCATTCCAAGAGGCACGTGACAGCACATAAGGTTGATGACTATAACTGCCTTCTGACTTCACTTCTGTGCTTTCTGCTGTGGGTGGGTTCTGTAGGTTGTTGCCTTTTTGGGTATTTAATTGAGGTTCTATGGATACCTATTGGGGCTTATAGGGCTCCTATATCTCATTATAAATAAAGGACACCCTAAATGTATTTTGGGTGTTTAATGGAGAAGGGGTTCCTCGTGGTATTAGGGTGACGATGTTGAAAGGTTTTATTTTTTGGACATGACATTCAAGAGCCATACAAAGCACAACCTCAGATACTGAATTCTTCCCTTTCACTTTATGCTTAAACCAAGGACATTCTCCTTAGGCTTCATTCGCACATTCATCCACTCATGCATTTCCTCACCCTCCATTACCTGATGTGTCATGTGCCCAGCCTTCTGCCAGGTTCTGGGGACAGAGAGATGAGGACAGCAGAATCTCTGCCCTTGAGTAGTCCACAGTCCTGTTGAGGGCGATTTGAAATGATTAATCCATCCAAGAATATTGGAATTCTCCAAAAGCTACTGTAGGGAAAAAGATAACGACCCAAAGTCTTTAAACCTGTTTCCCATTTTAATTGACTTAATTAGGTAAAATTCATAGAACTGTAATGTTGGAAGGGGCGCAGAAGGCACTTATTCCTGTTTTTTCTTCTTCCTCTCTTTCTTCAAGCCACACTGCACTCAAATTATCTCCCTAACCCCTGCATTTTGGAAAAGGGGAGTATTTTGGAGAACTATAGCTTTTGGCCCATTCAGATAAAACTTCCTGTTCAGTGAGAGCCCACTTGTTCAGAATTAAGATACACAGCTACAAAGTATTGTTCTGAAAGATATGAATGGCGTTGTTCACTCTTAAGACACACACACACACACACACACACACACACACACACACACACACAGTGGAGTTCCCATTCCCATATTCGTACTTCCAAGTCTGTGGGAATGCACGTGGTAGACACAGCATGCAAAATGAAAACATGCATGGCTGTGGTACAAGGAGGACCCTTTGAGAATTCTCTTAGTTCCCGGGAAGAAATACATCTCAGCGTTGGTCAAATCCCGATTTGTTACAACACAGAGACATACCTTGCTTCATTGTCATTTTTGCACCGTGGGTTAAGCTGATCTTCAGTGATCCCAAGAAGGCTGTGGTTTGTTTTGCAAAGGGTGCTGGACGTGGAATCAGAGCCTGAGTTTGGATACTCACTGGCTGCGACCAGTTTGGGCCTGTTTCCCCTGCTAACAATACACCACCCTCTGAGGGTCCTCATGCAGCTTTGATGAGTTAAGGGGTGTGAAGGTAATTTGTAAATTGTACAACTGTATGTATCGGCTGCCTTTTCCAAATGGAAACTTGTTCTTGTGATTAGACCATAGACTTGGGGAGGTGTTAGACCTATTAGAAGCCCCTCAACCCAACGCAAGTTACCACCCCACTTTCCAGTATAAGAGCACCCAGCAGCTCCACCTTATGCTCAGAATAAGGTGTAAGCCTCTGAACATAACCCCTGAGGCCATATGTGATGGGGTTCTTGCCAAGCTCTTCAACATCATCTCATCCCCTCTGTTTCACAAACCATAATGCATTTATCTGTAGTTCCTGGCATAGTCAAGATGTATTCTCGGGGCTCCTCTGACTCTAATATCCACCGTTTCCCCTTTTCCACACCTGGATTCTCCTTCAACATTCTCTCGTGCTTCTCTCAGTCCCCAGTTTATGGAAGTTGCTCTTTCTCAAATTCCCAGCAGATCTATGAAGACAGAGGCAATGCCTGTGCCTGCCGTATGTATCATTTCTCCAAGCTGTTGCTGCACAGTTAGGTGCTCGCCAGATATTTGTTGATTGAGCAGATAGATGTCCACCCAGCATTTATTATCCTCTATATTACACAGGAGTCTAGATTTCAAGGGACAGAAATTCTACTACAATTGGCTCAGGTGAACATGGGAACTTGTTGGCTTATAAACCAACAGGTCCAGAGTCAATGGCTACGGGCACGGCAGGTTCCAGGTGGTCTAAGTGTCATCAGGAATCTGTCTCTATTTACTGATGTTGTTTTGTCTCTGATGGCTTCATTTCCCAGCCATGAGCCTGGGGGCCAGAGAGAGTTCATTCTGTTGGAAACATATGGACTCAAAGGGGCGAGGTGGATGGGATGAACTAGAGGAAAATGAGGAGAATAGATGATGAGATGACAGAAGTAACAGATGTTCCTCACTGTATCAGGGCGTGGGCTCCAACTCCAGGACTTCTCTCCTCTTTGTATTTTCAGTATCACTTTCAGGGTGGGGTGTACAGTAGGTGCTCAAGAATGTTTGCGAATGAATAGATATGTGATTTATTTCCCCTCACTTCTAGGAAGAAGCTTCTGTTAGCCTATAAAGACAGATGGTGCTGTATAAACTGCCTTCTGCCTCATCTTGTTTTTCTTTTTTTTACCTGTTGGCAGGATCCGACGTCTACCTTCTTCCAATTTGGAGCGTCCATCCAGCAACAAGCCGTGGTCATGATGAAGATCATGCAGGATTACGACTGGCATGTCTTCTCCCTGGTGACCACCATCTACCCTGGCTACAGGGACTTCATCAGCTTCATTAAGACCACAGTGGACAACAGCTTTGTGGGCTGGGACATGCAAAACGTGATCACCCTGGACACCTCCTTTGACGATGCCAAGACGCAAGTCCAGCTAAAGAAGATCCACTCTTCCGTCATCTTGCTCTACTGCTCCAAAGATGAGGCTGTCCTCATTCTGAGCGAGGCCCGCTCCCTGGGCCTCACCGGGTATGATTTCTTCTGGATTGTCCCCAGCTTGGTCTCTGGGAACACAGAACTCATCCCCAAAGAGTTTCCATCAGGACTCATTTCAGTCTCCTATGATGACTGGGACTACAGCCTGCAGGCGAGAGTAAGGGACGGCCTGGGCATCCTGACCACTGCCGCGTCTTCCATGTTGGACAGCTTTTCCTACATCCCGGAGGCCAAGGCCAGCTGCTACGGGCAGACGGAGAAGCCAGAGGTCCCGATGCACACCCTGCACCAGTAAGAGGCGGCGCTTTGCTTTGTCTCTCTCTGCTTGGGATAAGAGTTGTGTTTTTGTTGCTGTTGTTTGTTTGTTTAAATATTAAGAGCAATACGTACTCATTGCTGAAAATGTGCACTGAAAATCAGGAGTGTTGTATTTGTGCGTATGGGATTATTTTGTTTGATTCTGCACTTCTCTCCCCTCTTCCTCTCTTCTCTTCTCCTTTTGTTTTTAAGTAACTTCTTATATTGTTTCCTGAAACTTAATTTTTTTACTTAACAATATCCCATGAAAACTTACACTTGAGATCTATCTATCCATCCATCCATCAATTCTCTATCTATAGATATATTTCAAATATGTATGTGCATATATGTAGATATATGTGTGTACATACATATGTATGAATATATAGATATGTGTGTCTGTAGATATACATTTATAAACATACATATATGAAAACCTACATTCTTTGTTACTTACTCATTGCATTCTTCAATAGGAATATACCATGATTTATTTATCCAGCCTTCATAATGATAGAAATTTGGGTTCTTTTAGGTTTTTTTCATTAGAAACTAAACTGCAGTGCTAATCATCCTATGTGTCTCTTTATGCACATGTGCAAGTATTTCTCTAGGGTGGATTCCGAGAAGCAGAACTTGGGGGTCACAGAGCATGTGCATTTTAAAATTATTTAAGTATCTATGCCAGATTGTCCTACAAAGTAACTATATCAATTTATATTCACACCAGCCGTTTGTGAAATCACTTCACTTCCCACATCCTCACCAACATGCTAACATTTGGAAAACTGCCCACAGTGGTGCTCCTAGTCCTTGGCTGAGTGTGTAGCTGAATTTCTCCCCTTTTTGTGTCCTACGTATTTCTATAGGGCATTGGAAATCTTGGCAAACACGCTCTCAAAGCTGCATTATATTCCATCACATGGACGTATTGTAATTTATATAATGACTCCCATTTTGGTGGACATGTAAGTTAAAAAGTATGTTTGGGAGAAGCATCATTGTTCTTTGTGGCCCATTATTATGACTCAGCTGTTGAGACGTAGAAGGATCACACTCGTACACCTGTCTTGCATGCGTTTGCCTGCTGTTTGCTGATTTAACCCATGTCCAACCCTCAGATAATGAGCAGCGTGGCACCGTGATTAAGGGACTGGACTCGAGTCAGATTTGTCAGGGTTCAAATCTTGTGTCAACCACTTTCTATATGACTTGGACAATCATTGTACTTTTCTGGGCCTCAGTTTGTTGAGGAGCGGTGACAATAGCACTTACTTTCTAGGCAGCGGTTCTGAACTTCATTATGCATGAGAACCACTAGGAGAGCTGGTTAAATCAGCTTGCTGGGTCCCATGCTCTGAGTTCATTGAGAAGCTCTGGGTGGATCCTAAGACTTTGTAATTCTAACAAGTGCCTGGGCGATGCGGGTGCTGCTGGTCTGGGGGTCATGCATCAAGAACCAACATGCTAGGTGTTTTGTGAGGACGAAATGAGGCGATGCATGAAAAGTGCTGCTTAGCACAGTGCCCAGCACCTAGTAATGACTGAGTGACTGTCAGAGTGATCAGTGAAGTTTTTCTGGTCACCAGAAATGAGGGTCAGCAGACTCGTTTGGTTGATTATTAGCAGAGTAACGCCTCTCTCTAAAATGGTTCTGGAAGGTTTTAGGACTTTGAATCTGCTCCAGTTCAGGGATTATCTCTGGGCTGGGGCTGGAGGTGTGTGTATGTTTGCACGTGTGCATGTATGTACATGTGTGTGTGTGTGTGTGTGTGTGTAATAGGTGCATAAAATAGACATAATCCTGAACAACTCTTGAATTAGGAAATCATGGCCCTTTGAAATTTTCCCTTTCCCCCTCCACCCCCCTCTTTAATGATCTTGTTTCTACATTGCCACTTCCAGCATTTTAAATAATTGTTCAAATAGCAGGAAGGAACTGGGGTCAATCCGTAGGACACACGGCGCCTCTCACAGAGGCAGGAGTGCTGCCAGCCCAGAGACAAGCGCTGGGCTGATGATCCTCACTCTTCATTACAAGAAGCGCCCTGCAGCTGGGATATTCAGAAATGTATAATTTTGATGGAAACACAACTCAATTTTAGGGCAATTGAAATATAATATATACAGGAAAAGGAATTTGAGAAGGATCATTGGCAAGGCATTCAGATCTCCTTCCAGTGACCACCCTGAATTCCATTCCTAAAAAAAATCCTCCTGCTGTGAAGGCTGTCGTGCTATTTCCAGGAGTCGTGCTTTTGAGGGAGGCAATTTCGGAGCTGATGTTTCAGCCCCAGAGGAGGAATGCGTCAGGTGTGGTAGGTTATCATCTGCTGCCTGGTGTTTAATGAAACTTTTCTCCATTTATGGAGCGCGTGGTGCTCACTGAGTGTGTGGGGCTGGAATCCGGCACAAGCAAGGCCCTGATCATATTTCCCCATCATCACAGTGCTCCTGAGCATGCCCGGGAGAGTGGCCCCTTTCCAAGGCAAGGTGAGCACTGGGCGCTTGAGAAAGCCCATCGAAGGCGGTTGTTAAGAAAAGGATTAAGGGGACTGTATCTTTCCATCCTCCAAAAATCACCCCTCCCACCCAATGGACCCTGTGCTAAGTCTGGTGTAACCATGCCCCTCAGAGAATGTACAATCTGATGAGGACAGGAGAGATTTGTCTGAAGACAAACTCAGATAACAAGAACTCTCTCTCTCTCTCTCTCTCTCAGAAAGAATACTGTGGGAAAGTATGGAGTCCAATAAAATGCCCACCCTGTACTTACCACAGAGAACAAAGGTTAACACGTTATATGTGTTTCACAGTTTTAAAAGAAATAAAACATTACTGATAAGGTAGAAATCTTGATCATACCTCTGTCCAGTCCTGCTTCTCTCCCTTCCTCTCCACGGGAGGGGAAACACTACAATAAACATCATGTCATTCAAATCCATGTACATTTGTTGTTGAAATATGTGCAACTTTAGACCCAATTTAGTTCTTTCTTAGGTACCAAATGGTATCTAAAGTGTTAGAATTTTCTTTACCTCAACCTTATGGTTTCGATTGATCTATGAAGATACATAGAATTCAACATATTCCTCTCAGTTGCTGTTTTGTATTCTGTTGTAGAAGTTATTTAAGCGTCTGTGATTTAATCACCCCCGTTGGATGGACATTTGGTTGCTGGATGGCTGAAGGCAGAGAACAGAGGTAGACCCATCACTTACTCAGTGGAGCCCAGGACTCTAGAGTTAGGGGTTCTCATGCCAGTCTTTAAAAGTTACATTTCAACTGGATTAAAACGTCTTCCTTGGTAAAGCATCTAGTGAAGAAATAGCTCTCACTACTCCCACTGTGTAGGGGGGAGGGGAGCAACTGGCTTCAGAAGAGCGTCAGGTGCAGCCACACCTGATGGTTTCACGCTGCGTTACTGAGAGGCTCTGGGTCCCACTCCGACTGGTTGAGCACATCTCGGGGCTAGTGGTGATGCCCCTCGGTGGTCCTCAGGGGTATTATTCGTAATCGTATGCACAGAGCTGGTGTAATTAGGCTATGGCAACAGTGACTGATGGCTTATGATGCTGGACCGGTACAAAGGAGGGCTTGCTCTGGGTGACGTGTTGATCTGACTGTGGACCTGTTTCCATTTCTGGGATTCCAGAATAAAAAGAGTAGGGGCAAGGGGGAAATAGTCTTTAGGTTGAACATTCCTGGTTTTACAGAAGGCACTCTGAAAAGAGCAGTCAGCATTTTCCAAAGTTCAAAAATAGCTCAGCCATGTTATGTAACCTCCTCCTCGCTACTGCAAAGTTATTAAACATCTGTTCTTCCGCCACGCACAGAGTTTTCACTGGCGACTCCCAGCGCTGGGAAGGTAAACCAGGACCTGTTTTGCTGGGGTGGGACGTAGGCTGTTCTGTCCAGTCTGTCCCAAGATCTGTCCAGTTCACTGGTGGATGGGGCTCCCTGGGAGGCACCGTGGCCTCACAGTTAAGGGTGTGGGCACTGGAGCCAGGTTGTCTGGTTTGAATCCCTGATCAGAACTCTTCTGTTCTAATTCCTCCAGGTCTGCTCCCTCAGGTGAAATACGGGGATAAGAAAAGTATTTACGTCTTAGCCCACGGCCTGGCATATGGAAAGCAGTCTGTACATGGTTACTGTAATAGATAAAATGTATGTGCGTGTATTCATGTGTTCTCCATTGGAGGGAACACATGTTACACTTACTGAGGAGGAGATCACAGAAGGGATAGCTAGATGCATTTTTTATTTTTTAAAAATATATTTTTATTGATTTTGAGAGGAAGGGAGAGAGAGAGAAATATCAATGATGAGAATCATTGATCGGCTGCCCCTTGCACACCCCCTACTGGGGATCGAGCCTGTAACCCTGTCATGTACCCTTGACAGGAATGGAACCCAGTCCATGTTATGTAACCACAGGCCGACGCTCTATCCACTGAGCCAAACCAGCTAGGGCGGTAGATGCATTTCAGATCTAAATCCTCTTGCCAAGGGATTACCTTGGGAGGAATCTGTCCAGGGCGAAGAAGAGCAGTGTGGCATAGAGAAATTCATGGGCTGGGTAATATCACAGAATTGGTTTTGAATTGGCCACATACTGACCAAGTGTAAGTTCCTAGCCACTCTGAACCCAGGTTTTTATCTAAAATGCGTGCATGTGTGTGTGTGTTATAGTCATTGGTTCTTATTAAAGCAGAATTAAATGAAAGTCTCTATGTACAACACTTCTCATTGAGCCTGGCTGGTGGTACGCATTTCACAACTGTCATTCCTGCCTTCTTATTATTTTATGATAATGATGATAATCATCATCATCATTATTATTACTTTAACTGATACTGTTACACTGCAAGCTATGTACAGGCAAGAATGTGAGAAATGGAGGTGTATTCCAGTCTCATTTTTTAACAACTGAATTGCAACTATATGTCCTGTGGCTCTGATGTTAGTCGAGGGAGTAGGAAATGGAGAAG